TATAAGCATACATAATATTAATCATTTTGTATGGACACAGTAAGAAATACTTTGGGCTTATAGAATTGCTCTCCTAGGGCCATCTCGATCTCAGACTGCAGTGCTCAGGCCAGATATCTTTCGTATTCCTAGCAGCAGGGCCCTAGTCTCATCGTTACTATTGGATCATGACATAATGCCTATGATCAACCTCTTAACTTATAGTTAAGAATCGTGGCGCCTTGGCCTGGCCCATCGCGATGCCAGGGTAGCACATAACTTACCGGCTTGCCCTGGTTCCATCCAGTCCCACGTCGGGACCCTGCCCTTGGAGTGCTAGGAAGTGAGGGCAACTGAGGCTTAAACTGAGAAGGCAGATGCCCAGGGGTGAATAATATTCAAGGCCAATTAAATTCTAAGTTATAAAGCATAATATTAATTAATTGTCTTCCTGTATCCATACAAAAGGACATTACATTAAGGCAAACTGCTCAAAAGACATAAGGAGAGGAGAAAGGCAATATTAACTTACAGTACAGCTTCAGTGTCTAAGAAGGATGAGACCTTACAAATTGGTTGGGGAAGAGAGGATAGAAGTGGTTACAAGCAGACAAAGTAATGGGAGTGACTCGGGAGCACTGTGATGAGTGTGATTCCGATAAACCTAAGCTCCGTGTACTCCAACAGTAGGGCATTTGCCTTGCACACAGCCAACATCGCCGACTCGAGGTCGATTCCTCCACCCCTATTGGAGAGCCCGGCAAGCTACCAAGAGTATCTCACCCACACGGCAGATCCTGGCAAGCTATCCGTGACGTACTCCATATGCCAAACACAGTAACTACAAGTCTCATGGTGGAGATGTTACTGGGCCCGCTCGAGCAAATCGATAAACAATGGGAGGACTGTGATATATATATATATATATATATATATATATATATATATAAAACAACCTCTCTATGACCATGTTGCAAACCATAATGCCCAGAAGAAAAGAGAGAACCTCAGTCATTAACAAACTTGTAACTGTGTAACTCACAGTGATTCCATTTTTAAAAAAGAACTATGACCACAAAAATAGATGGCAAATCAAATCTGATGGCAAAGTTGAATTGAAGACCAACAAGGTCAATGACCCTAAAGGCTCAAATACCACTAACCAGCATAGTACTTCAGCAGACAATGACTTTAGTAACAACTTTGTGAGATATAACAACTAAAAAAATTGGCTTTTATTGACCTAAGTTTTGAGAATTCCATCTGCATTTGTGTTGTAGCAAAAAAAATGAAGTATATTTGTTTGTACCTTCAAAGTGGAAGACTGGGATAGTGGGTGGGAAACTGGGAACATTGCTGCAGCGAAGATCACACTGGTGGTGGAATTGGTGTTGGAACATTCATGGAATGCCTGGAACATATTATGAACAACTTGGTAAATCACGATCTTATAGTAAAAACGTTTTAAAGAAGATGTTAAATTCAAATTAAGTAGGCAAAGTAATGACCAAGTAAAATTAGAAAAATATTGGTAAAACTACTATTGACTAATAATAGTATACCCTTGATTCCTATTACAAGGCAAAGGAATACAAAGACTCTGACAGAAAGAAATATTTCATGTACAGTGAACACATAGACAATTCTTTAGGAAGTCCCCATATACCACTTTTTAAATATTTGAAATAGTAATATTCTATCTGTACCACTTTAAGATAGAAAAGGTTGAGAAGTTGTTTGAGCAACTCTTCATATACTACGCAGCTCATTATTAGTAATATAGGAAAAATAATATTATTTATTTCACTGTTCTACTTCTTAATTATTTTGTATGGACACAGTAAGAGATACATTAAGCTTATAGGGTGGCTGTCCTGGGGACATCTTGCATATTACAGTGCTCAGGCCAGATTAATATTTCCTAAGCCTATCAGGATCTTAATCTAGTTGTTACTTTTTGAGCTGGAGCAAGAGCACAGCGGGTAGGGCGTTTGCCTTGCATGCAGCTGACCCGGGTTCGATTCCCCTGTCCCTCTCGGAGAGCCTAACAAGCTACGGAGAGTATCCCGCATGCACAGCAGAGCTTGGCAAGCTCCCCGTGGCATATTCAATATGCCAAAAACAGTAACAAGTCTCACAATGGAGACGTTACTGGTGCCCACTTGAGAAAATTGATGAACAACGAGAGGACAGTGCTACAGTGCTATATAAGGGTGGTTGGTCACAACCTTGGTATCTGAGGTTTACTCCAAGCTGTGTATTCAGGGGTCACTTCTGACAGTGCTTAAGGGACCATATGTGGCCATAGATCCAATAGGGTCAGTCAAGGTAATGCAGACACCTTATACCCTATTCTATCTTTCCAGCCCCATATTTATTGCACTTTTAGTTTATACGTATGAGAGCAAATCCTTTTTTCCCTAAAGTTCCACTGAAAAATCTCAAATACAGTTTTTATGTGAGAAAATACTTTTTAAAAAATATTTTATTAGTGAAGCACCAAGAGGTACAGTTGTAGACTTACAAATATTTGTGCTTGGGTTTCAGTTATACAACAATCGAGTACCCATCCCTCCACCAGTGCCCATTTTCCACCACCAATGATCCCAGTATCCCTCCAATGCCCCCAACCCCTTGATCCGAACCCGCCTCTGTGTCAGGGCATTCCCTTTTGTTCTCTCTCTCCTTTTGGGTGCTGTGGTTTTCAAAAGAGGCATTGAGTGGCAATCATGTTCAGTCTATAGTCTACTTTTAACATGCATCTCCCATCCTGGGAGGATCCTCCCAACAACCTTTATTTGGTGCTCCCTTCTCTTTCTGAGCTGCCTTTTCCCCTAGCACGTGCGGCTGACCTCCAAGCCATGGAATAAACCTCCTGGTACTTATCTTGGCTATTCTTGGGTTTTGTCTCCTATTTTGTTACTTTATGTTCCCCAGATGAATGCAGTCTTTCTATGTCTGTCCCTTTCTTTCTGACTCATTTCACTTAGCATGATACTTTCCATGTAATACCACTTGAATGTAAATTTCATGACTTCATCTTTTCTAACATCTACATAGTACCCCATTGTGTAGATGTAACAAAGTTTCTATAACTAGTCATCTGTTCTCGGGTACACAAGTTTTTTCCAGATTCTGGCTATTGTAAACAGTGCTGCAATGAACATAGAAGTGCAGATGTCATTTCGACTGTACTTTTTTGCCTCTCTGGGATAGATACCTAGGAGTGATATTGCTGTGTCAAATGTGAGCTCAATTTCTAATTTTTTGAGAATCGTCCATACTGTTTTCCAAAAGGGCTGAACCAGTAGGCATTCCCACCAGCAGTAAAGGAGGGTCCCTTTCTGGCCACATCCGCACCAACACGTTTCTTTTGTTCTTTTGGTTTTTTTTAATTATTTTTATTAGTGAAACACCATGAGGTACAGTTATAGGCTTATAAATTTTTGTGCTTGGGTTTCAGTTATACAATTATCAAGTACCCATCCCTCCACCAGTGCCCATCCTCCACCACCACGGGTCCCAGTCTCTGTGGTGTGAGATTATATTTCATTGTTGTATTGATCTGCATCTCCCTGATGATTAATTATGTAGAGCATTTTCTCATGTGCCTTTTTGCCATTGGGATTTCTTTGAGAAAGTTTCTGTTCATTTTGTCACCCAATTTTTGATGGGGTTGGATGTTTTCTTCTTGTGGAGTTCAACCAGTACTTTGTATATCCTTCATATAAACACCTTGTCAGATAAATATTGGGCCAATATCCTTTCCCATTCTGTAGACTGTCTTTGTATTTTGGTTACTGTTTCTTTTGAGGTGCAGAAGCTTCTTAGTTTATGATAGTCCCATTTGTCTATCTTTGTTTTCACTTGCTTGGCCAGTGGTGTGACATCTTTGAAGATACCATTAGCTTTAATATCATGAAGGGTTTTGCCAACCTTGTCTTGAATGTACCTTATGGATTCCGGTCTTATGTTGAGGTCTTTAATCCATTTTGATCTTACTTTTGTACATGGTGTTAGGCAGAGATCTGAGCCCATTTATTTGCATGTAGCTGTCCAGTTTTGCCAGCACAATTTGTTAAAGAGGCTTTCCTTGCTCCATTTAACATTTATTGCTCCCTTATCAAAGCTTAGATGTTCATATGTTTGGGGGGAGGTGTCTGTATATTCAACCCTTAGGTTCCATTAGTCTACATCTCTGCCTTTGTTCCAGTACTGTGCTGTTTTAATTATTACTGCTTTGTAATAGTGTTTGAAGTTAGGGAGGTTGATTCCTCCCATTTTCTTTTTCCCAAGAATTGCTTTAGCTATTCGTGGGGGCTTATTGTTCCATATGAATTTCAGGAGTGTTTGCTTCATTTCTTTGAAGAATGTCATGGGTATTATTATAGGGATCGCATTGAATTTGTACAATGTTTTGGGGAGTATAGCCATTTCGGCCATGTTAATTCTCCCGATCCATGAGCAGGGGATATCTTTCCATTTTTTTGTCCTCTTTTATTTCCTTAAGTAGTGTTTTGTAGTTTTCTTTGTACAGGTTCTTTACTTCCTTAGTTAATCTGATTCCTAGGTACTTGATTTTCTAGGGCACAATTGTGAACAGGATTGTTTTTTTTATGTGACTTTCTTCTCTCTCACTATTTGCCTATCGGAACCCATGAGCTTTTGGGTATTGATTTTATAGTCTGAAACTTTACTAGACAAGTCTATTGTTTCTAGGAGTTTCTCGGTAGAGATTTTAGGGTTCTCTGAGTATAGTATCATATCGTCTGTGGAGAGTGAGATCTTGAGATTTTCCTTTCATACCTGAATGCCCTTAATATCTTTTTCTTGCCTAACTACTATTGCAAGTACTTCCAGTACTATATTGAACAGCAATGGAGAGAGTGGGCATCTTTGTCTCAACCTGATCTTAGAGGAAAGGTCCTTAGTTTTTCCCCATTGAGGATAATGCTTGCCATGTGTTTTTCATAGATGGCTTTGACTATCTTGAGGAAAGATTCTTCAAAACCCATTTTGGTGTGCTCACTTCAGCAGCACATACACTAAAATTAGAATGATACAGAGAAGATTAGCATGGCACCTGCGCAAGGATGACCCTCAAATTCGTGAAGTGTTTTATATTTTTAAGGCCACCGCTGAGCACGGAGCAGCGGGGGTAGATGCCTTCTCTTCCTGGTAACGGTACCACCTCTGTCTGAGGCCACCTTCACTGGAGGAAGTGTGGGCTGCCTTGTATGAAACATGGCAAGCATGTAGGCACCTTCTTGATTTTTCTTCAGTTTTAATATTGACTAAAATTTGCTTCCTCTCTTCTGGAGAATACAGACAGATAATGTAGTTTTATATGGAACAAATTGTCAGTGGTCGCCCCTGTCATACTCTATTATTTCTCGAACAAAAAATAAAATTATGTTGCAAAAAAAACCATTTTGGTGAGATTTTTCATCATAAACGGGTGCTGGAACTTGTCGAAAGCTTTCTTTGTATAAAGTAACAAAATATGAGATTAATACCCAAGAATAGCTGAGATCAGCACCAGGAGGATTACTCCATGGCTTAGAGGCCAGCCGGGCATTCTAGGGGAAAGGGCAGCTCAGATAGAGAAGGGAGCACCAAATAAAGGGTGTTTGAAGGATCCTCCCAGGAAGGGAGATCCATGTTGAAAGTAGACTATGGACTGAACATGATTGCCACTCAATACCTCTTTTGCAGACCACAACACCCAAAAGGAGAGAGAGAACAAAAGGGAATGCCCTGCCACAGAGGCAGAGTGGGATGGGGAGGATGGGGGTGGGAGGGATATTATCCATGGTGGTGGAAAATGGACACTGGTGGAGGGATGGGTATTTGATCATTGTATAATCGAAACACAAGCACAAAAAATTGTAAATCTACAACTGTACCTCATGGTGTTTCACTAATAAAAATTTTTAAAAAAGCATTCTCTGCATCTATTGATATGATCATATGGTTTTTACCTTTTCTTTTGTTGATATGATGGATTTTGTTGATTAATTTTAGAATGTTAAACCATTCTTGCATCACTGGGATGAATCCTACTTGGTCATGGTGTATGATCTTTTTGATGAGTTGTTGAATTCTATTTGCTAGTATTTTGTTGAAAACTTTGCATCCATATTCATCAGGGATATCGGCCTATAGTTTTATTTTCTTGTAGTGTCTTTGTTTCCTTTTGGTATTAGAGAGATATTGGTTTCATAGAAACTGTTTGGGAGATTTTCTGTTTCTTCAATTTCTTGGAAAAGCTTGAGAAGAACTGGCAATAGTTCATCTTTTAATGTTTGGAAAAATTTGCTAGTGAATCCATCTGGACCTGGGCTTTTGTTTTTGGGAAGACTCCTGATTACAGTTTCAAGTTCCTTGATGTTAATAAGTCTATTCAGGTACTCTAGAGCTTCTTGATTCAGCCTTGAGAGATTATAGGATTCCAGGAATTTATTTATTTTGTCGAGGTTCTCTTGTTTTGTGGCATAAAGACTTGCAAAGTAGTCTCTGATGATCACTTAAATTTCTTTGGTTTCTGATGTGATATCCCCCTTCTCATTTCTGATTCGGTTTATTAGGGTTCTCCCTCTCTATCTTTGTGAGTCTTGCTAGTGGTTTATCTATGTTATTTATTTTTTCTAAGAACCAGCTCTTGGTTTCATAGATCTTTTGGATTGTTTTTTTGATTTCCATGCCATTGATTTCTGCTCTAAATTTTATGGTCTATTTTCTTCTGCCTGATTTGGGCTCCTTTTGTTGATCCTTTTCTAAGATCTTGAGCTGTGAAGCCAAGTTGTTTATGTGGGCCCTTTCTTCCTTCCTGAGAAATGCTTGCAGAGTTATAAATTTTCCCCTTAACACGGCTTTAGCTGCATCCCCTAGGTTCTGGTACTTCATGTCTTCATTCTCATTTGTTTCTAGGTTATCTTCTGATTTTGTCCTTGTGTCCTTCCTGACCCACTCATTGTTCAACATTGAGCTGTTTAATTTTCAGGTGTTTGATTTGGTTCTCCGTGTCTGTGTGTGATTCACTTCTATTCTAAGTGCATCATGGTCTGAAAAAATTGTTGAAACCATTTCTATCTTCCTGATTCTGTTGAGGTATGTTTTGTGTCATAGCACATGGTCTATTTTGGAAAAAGTTCCGTGTGCACTGGAGAAGAATGTGTATTCTTTCTTTTTGGGATGTAAAGCCCTGTATAGGTCTATAAGCCCTCTCTCTTCTATTTCTTCTTTCAATGCCAATGTTTCCTTACTGGGTTTTGTTCTTGTTGATCTATCCAGAGGAGAAAGGCAATGTTGAAGTCTCCAGCTACTATTGTGTTGCTTGCGATGTCCTCCTTAAAATCTTTTAGCAGTTGTTTTAAATATTTAGCTGTTCCCTCATTAGATGCATATACATTTAAGAATGTGATTTCTTCCTGCTGTACATATTGCTTGATGAATAGAAAATAGCCTTCACTGTTCCTTCTAATCTTTTTCAACCTGAAATTGATGTTGTCGGATACTAGTATGGCCACCCCAGCTTTTTTGAGGGGCTTTTTGCTTGCAGGATTGTTTTCCATCCTGTAACTTTGAGTCTGTATTTGCTCTGAGTGTTGAGATGAGTTTCTTGTAGGCAGCAGAATGTTGGGTTCTGTCTCCGAATCCTATCCAAAGAAATTTCATTCTGAACTTTAACAAAGACTGCCTGTTATTCTGAGAGTATGTGTAAAGCCTCAGAAGCTTCTTAAGGGGAATTACCAGAAGTAAACTTTCCAGGATAATGGTTTACTTGGGACCCAGGTCTGATCTCCAAGTCTAGAGCAGAGCTCCTCAGGCTTCTTGAGTAATTGTGATTCAAAACTCAGGAAAAAAGTAGAAAATTATCAAAGATTGATTTCATATGCTCTGGAGACCTCACAAGAAAGAAGCATCCTGTGTGGTTCTAGAGGTCTTCAGCATTTCCTATATCTCTCATTTTGTATTGTAAAAGTAGGTAACTACCTCACCAGGACAATTTGAGAAATGGCTTAACAGGTGCCTAATATGAAAACCCAGCCCTATGACCATAGGACCTGGATCCACCATTACTTATTTCCACTGAAGCTTGGAAAGTTACATCCTAAAATGTAATGTATCATCCAAATGGCGCCCATTAATTCATTAGTATTGACTATCCAGATTCAGTGATAAATCAGCCTAAAAAAGATTCCAGGTAGACCCAGCCTCCACCAGTCCCAGAGCTTTGAAGCTTTAGCAGAGGATAGAGCAGACTGAGTCCCAATCATGCCAAGGGTCCAGCACTTCACCCATCCACATTAGGCTGTCACAAGTGCTAAAGAAAGGAATCTCTGAGAGATGCCAGCAGTTGAGTTATTCTAAGTAGGCCTGGACACCACCAGGCCCAGATTTCTGGAGTCTTAGATGTGTGGGGTCAGGCTAAGTCCCCACCCTGCCAAAGGCCAAGCACTCTACCCACCCACATCTCAGAGAAATGCCAAAGAGACACTGACAGCTGATCATCCCAGCCCCAAAGCCCCTGAAGCGTGCAGCCATACAACGACTCCAAATTTCATAAGGCTGACATCCCCGTAGAAGCACAGAAAATTAGATAGGAAAATTGAGTAGAAACCCACTAAGCTCAATGAGTGAAAACAATAACACAGAAGGCTCAACTCTCACCTAACAGCTCAGTATATCCTCAGGACATGACTTTAGCAAGAACATTGCGAGATACAAGTTTTAGCAAGCAATATAAAGTAAGTTATTTTGTGCTGCTAAGGAGGTGTGCTTGAGGGGCTGGGAAACTGTGGACATTGGAGGAGGTAAGGGCACATTGGTGGTGGACTGGTGTTGAAATATTTAATACATGAACTGTATTGTGCACGACTTTGTAAATCTGTAGTGCTGCACTGTAGCACTGTCCTCCCGTTGTTCATCGATTTGCTCAAGCAGGGACCAGTAACGTCTCACAACTTGTGAGACTTGTTGTTACTGTTTTTGGCATATCAAATATGTCACGGAGAGCTTGCCAGGCTTTGCCGTGCTTTGTAAATCATGATGTTTGAATAAAGTTTCCTTCAAAAATAAAAGTAGACTTAAAAAGAGAAAAGTTTATGTAAATATTTGGACACTGGGGTTTGGGAAAATAGCTTGAAGAGCATCAACAATCGTTCTCAACATTGTAAAGTCTTGAGCCTCACTATATGGGCAATACCGAGCTCTGTACTCAGGTGGTGCTGAGGGAAACATACACCGTACCTGAATCTAACCAAGGTTAACCACATGCAAGGCAAGTAGCTTAACCCTTGTACTATCTCTTAATTCTTCAAATGTTCTTTATCTATCTTCCTCTTAAAGATTTTGTTATCGAAAAAAAGAACTGAATAAGAGTCGGACTTTACTAGGGAGGATGCCTAGATCACCTTTGATCCCAGAGTATAGGGAAGAGAAGGAAAGAAATTAGTGGGGGTAAGGAAGAAGATGATAAAGAGAAGTAATGGAGAAACATGGGCCAGGGTCCTCTGGTGTACTTCAGATGCAGGAAAGTGGTATAGCTATATATTCAAAGTATAGACTCAGCAACACTCCTAACATGAAATCTAAACTACAGACACTAAACTTTTATATGTGCCTGTAAAGGTGACAGGTAGGAGAGTGGGGGGCTTGGAGGGAATATGGAAACATTCATGAAGATAAATTGACACTGGTGGTGGGATTGGTTTTGGAATGTTGTGTACCTATGATTCATCTATTAATAACTTTGTAAATAATGGCTCTTTAAATTAAAAAACTTTAAAGATAAAAATAGAGACTATACAGAAAGGAAAACAACAAGTTCAGAAGGATATCTACCATCATAGTCTGGAAAACAACTTCCAAGTGAGTGAAAATTGGTCTGGTCTTATGCCCAGCAGAGCTAGGATGATGTAACCATTTATACATATTTACACATATTCTTTTTCAGGAAAATCATGCACATTCATGAGGGGAAAGGGTGAGCATACACTGTTGAGGTCATGAAATGGACATACATCACATGTACAAAAAATGGTTTAAAAATGTGATTGGGGATATGTTTTAGCATGGTAACAAGAAGAGTGGCTGGAGATCAAGACTATGACATAGTCTCCACAA